GGGCTCAGGCAGCTTTGACCAGCGTGAGCTGGGCAGGCACTCCACCGTGTCCGACCTCCCGGGGATTTTGATGGCGCCTTCGCGGCACGTGTACGTCACCCTGGATCCAACGGGGAAGGTGCTGGCATGCTCATCGCTGGACGGTCTGGAGTGATTCATGCGAGGTGGGTTCCTCGGGTGAGGACCCGGTTCCCTGGCCCCTTCCCCAGCCCCAGCGAGCATCCCAGGAGTGCGGCTGGGCTGGCCCCGGCTTCCCCTCTGGGCACAGGCAGCGGGCAGGGCTGCATCCTGGAGAGCATCCGTGAGAGCGTCAAGCAATGGGTCCCCAGGCTTGGGGGTTGGTGGCATCACCCTCCCCAACACCTGAGCAGCAAGGTGGGACCTGGGCAGGTCTCGCTGGTCCTCCCCGCACATCCCGCATCCCCGTACTCACCGCGAGCCACCGGCATGCCTAGGAGCCCCAGCAAGGCCAGGAGCAGGGCGGTGTGGCCAGAGCCCCATGCCCCAGCAGGTGCCCCACAGCTCAGGGTGCCTGGGTGCTTCCCCCGTCCTGGTTCTCCAGACTTCATTGCAGCAATTTCTGTGCTCCTCTGTCAAGCACCGTTGGTTCCAAGGGGCTGTTTCTGAAGCTGGGAGGAGATGCAGCTCAGCAGGCTCAGCCAAGCCTCTGGAGCAGTGGAAACCTTTCCAGAACACCCATGGAGCTAAACCCTCCTGCAGGGACACGGAGAGCGGCCAGGGGTGGGGGACAACTGTCATCCACGGGCTTGGGTAAAGCCTCCTGGTCCTCCTGCCCCACTGTAAGGGATGGGGGAATAACTCAACCCTTTTATTTGACCTGAGACTGGCAGTGAGCGCTGACTAGCAGAGTTTTACCAAAACCAAATGCTACCAGAGCAGAAAAGACCCCCACCCAGCCCCAAGCTGTATCCAGGGTAGGAAAATGCCTACTTAGTCATTTGCTGGCAGGTAACGCAACACAGATCTTCCATAAGCGGAATTAGTGAAACAAAAAATAAAAGCATTATCCTTTTTGTTTGTTAATTTTTTTCTCGATTGCCTGACTCATTTGTAATTAGGAACGGGTGTGAGCGAATACATCTGTGCACTGACTAACGCTCTGAAATATCCCGTCTGACATCAGCCAAGGCTACTCAAACGCAGTCTTAGATACACACGGGACGGAACACCCAGTTCTTATTCATGCTTATGGGTTTCGAGCCTTGCACAGGGAGATAAGACACTTTCTGCTTGCAGTCGCAGGTGAGCACGATGCGGAGGAGAGGGAGGTGTCACACCAGGAGGGTGCAGCCCTGCTCTCCTTGTGGCACAGGGAGAACCGGAGTGGGTCTGAGAATGCCTCTCATTGCAGATCTCCTCACCAGGACGTGGTGAAGCACGGGATGCATTATCAGAGCATCTTTCTGTGTAAAGATGGGAGACACCATCTCTTCCCTGGGTGTTGTCCTTTAGGCTCTGGTAACGTTTAAAGCAACTCTAATAACTCATAAAAGCATGCATCTGCCAATGATATACCACTGCAAAGAGCTCGTGCGGGAGATGAGTGCTCCTCCTTCTCCAGCTGAGCCCAGGCAGCAGCACGCTGCTGTGCTGCACGGTGCCCTCGGCCCCGCGGCTGCCTGCCGTGCCGTGCCGTGCCCACTGCGGCTCCCTGAGGACCGACCCGGGCTGCCAGGGCTCGGCTCTCAATCAGACCCACCATTGCACCGCTCTGGAAATCTGCCTAGTTTACAGCCAGTGTGACAGATTACGAGACACCCGTGGTTACACCTGCATCTTTATTGTTATCCTGACGGGAAGGAGTAATTGCTGCATCACAGAGCTACATAAACTGATCGTCGTTTATTAAGTAATAAGAACAATCTTTGCTGTCTTCTTAAACTTACAACATCTATTCTTAGCATTTGCTTGCTGGAAATAGGGACGTGGAAGCTGACACCACCACAGACATCTGTTGAACACAGTGCCGGGCCAGAAACCTGTTGCCTGTTTTAGATCCAGGTGTAAAGGAATAGAAGCCTTTACAAATGCACTTCTTGTATGTAACTGCCCTTGACTAGATGAATAGAAATCACGAGCTAGACTAACAGGAAATCACGTAGTTAAACGCTCACTTCACTACTATTTCTAGACAGAAGTATGCTAATGCTTTGACAGGCTGAGTTCGGCACAGGTAGGGGATGCAGCATTGCGCAAACCACCGGCTGGAAGATTACAGCAGAAGCACCTTCAGAGAGCCAGACACTCATCTCAGCTAGAAGTTCACTTTTGAGGACTTCAGTCCCCCTTCTCTTGGCTTAGCGCAGTTCATGTAGTGACTCAAAAAAGCTCAATTTAATTTTTTATTATGCTTCCTAGAATAAAATGTGAAACAACACGTTTGTTCAATAGCGCATCAAGCTTGTCAGACTTAAGGAGGAGAGCAAAAACCCCTCTATGCTCTAGCATCTAGCACGGCAAAAGCAGTCTCCCGTACATTGGTTATTATTTCTCTGGCTATATGCATGCAAGTATGAGCCATAAAGTCACCAAGAGCCTTCCTACATTCACTGTGACTACACGAACTGCATGTTCACCAAAGGTGATAGTTGCAGGACTCACTCGTTCAAGCTTTCTAGTTCCATCTTCAGTTTTTTAATCTCCAGAAATAGTTTTTGTATTTCCAGCAGAGTTTTCAGTTCTGCTATAGGCACACCGCATTCAAAGCCTGCTTTAATATAATGAATCGCTTCGCATACATCAGCATCATCTTCTTTCTTCTGTCAAAAAGTAAAACAAAACAAACAAAACCCAGAAAAAAGCATGTAAGATTGCACTGCAGCAGATGGAGAGCCACCCGCTCCTCAGCTCTGAGCCTGAACTTCTGTCCTGTTTGCCATGCACTGCCCCAACGCAATCTGCACCCCCCGTTGGTACCGTAAAACAAAAGCATTTAAGAAGTTCAAGCAGTTATTTTTCATATTAGAAGTCAGGCAGCATCCATCCAGGAACTCAGCCAGGCTATGGTACTTACACACTTGGGCAGCGGTGTCCAGTTGCCATCAGGCAAGCACGTGGCTGTCCAAGAATCTTCTGAAGACATGGCTCCATCGTCTGAAAAGCGGTACCCATGAAGGCATTCAAAAGTAACAGTCTCATTTGTTTGGTATGACATTTTACCATCCGAAGTGCTTTTCAGCCTTCCGTTGGCCACTTGTGGTTGTGGACACAGAACTGAAAGGAAAACCCACAGCAGAAGGCATGAGGGTCATCATTGCGTAGGTAGATGTCCTGGTTTCGGCTGGGATAGGGTTAAATTTCTTCCTAGTGCTGTGTTTTGGATTTAGTATGAGAAGAATGTTGATAACACACTGATGTTTTCAGTTGTTGCTAAGGGCCCTCCTAGTGAAGGACATTCAGTTTCTATGCTCTACCAAGCAGAGGCTGTGAGGGGGCATAGCTGGCCCAGCTGGCCAACAGGGTATTCCATACCATGTGACGTCATGCTCAGTGTATGAATGGTAGGCGTGTTCCAGGAGGTACCGATC